TCTCTAAGTTATCCATTCTTGTTATCATTTCCTCATATCTTTTTTTAAGTTCCTTAGTTTCTTTGCATTGATTTAATACATGTTCTTTTAGCTCACAAAAGTTTCTCATTATCCACCTTCTGAAGTCTAATTCTGTCATTTCGTCACAGTCATTCTCCGTCCAGCTTTGTTCCCTTGCTGGTGATGAGTTTTGGTCCTTCCTAGGAGGTGAGGTGTTCTTGTTTCCGGTGTTTTTCTCCTTTTTTCGCTGGTTTCTTCCCATTTTTGTGGGTTTATCCGCTTGTCTTCTGCGTAGTTGCTGACTTTTTGATTGGGTCTCTGAGTGGACACCCAGATTGTTGATGATGAAGTATTTCTGTTACTTGGTTTTCCTTCTACCAGCCTAGCCCCTTTACTGTACGACTGCTGAGGTCCACTCCAGGCCCTGCTTGTCTGGGTTGCACCTCTAGCAGCTGTGGCGCAGCGAGGGATGCTACCCATTTCTTTTTCTGCTATCTTTGTCCCAGGATGATGCCTGCCAAATGTCAGTCTTTTGGATATAGAGGGGTCAGGGAGCTGCTTGAGGAGACAGTCTGTTCTTTTTAGGAGCTCAATTGCTGAGCTGTGAGCTCTGTTGTTCATTCAGGGCTGTTAGGCTGCTATGTTTGATTCTGCTGCAACAGAGCTCATTAAAAAACCCTTTTTTTTTCTCAAATGCTCTGTGTTGGGGGGTTCGGGCTTTATTTTTCGATGTCCTTTGAGGTGTCCTGCCCAGCTAGGAGGCAGACTAGCCACTGTTCGCCTGCCGAGTCTCCGCCCTGCTGTTGTGTGATTCACCCTGTTCCTGCAGGCTCTGCTGTGGTCTCTGCCACGCCCTGCGGCGGAGTCTCTTTGTTGTAGCGTGTTGCCTCGGCAACGGCAGGCTGCGTCAGCAGTGGGCGTGTATCTCAGTAGGGACGGGTTGCCTCGGCAACAGGAGGCTGCATCTGCAGTGGGCGTGTATCTCAGTAGGGACATGTTGCCTCGGCAACGGGAGTCTGCGTCCGCAGTGGGCGTGTATCTCAGTTGGGGCGGGTTGCCTCGGTCGTGGTGGATGCCCCTCCCCCACAGAGCGTCTCGGACCGTCTGCTTGGGATAGTTTGAAATCGCGGTTTTGTTCGTCCCACTGGGTATCCCGAACGCTCTGTTTCTGCAATCCCCTGGGCTGGCCTACTGTCCAAGTCTCGTTCAGTCTCAAGTCCAGCCCTCTCAAGTCTCAGGTTGCCGGTTCAACAGGGCACCTGGAGAAGCGCACTGGGTGGGGATTGCTGGGTAGGGCCGGCCGTTGCCGCGCCCCCACTGCCGGCTATGCCAGGCAGACTTACTGCCAGGCAGACTTACTGCCTGGCGTCCCGTGTCTTTTTTATACTTGGGAGTTTCCCCGTTCTGTGGGCAACAAAGATCAGTCTGGAAATGCAGCTCGGACTCACCTCTTTGCGGATTCAACGAGAGCTCCAATCCTGGGTTGTTCTCACAGCGCCATCTTGCATCCTCTCCTCCGGGTTTTGAATTTTTATCCAATTCGCCAGCCTGTGTCTTTTGATTGGTGCATTTAGTCCATTTACATTTAGGGTTAATATTGTTATGTGTGAATTTGATACTGCCATTTTGATGCTAGCTGGCTGTTTTGCCCGTTAGTTGTTGTAGATTCTTCATTATGTTGATGCTCTTTAGCATTTAGTGTGATTTTGGAATGGCTGGTACTAGTTGTTCCTTTCTATGTATAGTGCCTCTTTCAGGAGCTCTTGTAAAGTAAGCCTGCTGGTGACAAAATCTCTGGGTACTTGCTTGTTCGCAAAGGATTTTATTTTTCCTTCACTTCTGAAGCTCAGTTTGGCTGGATATGAAATTCTGGATTGAAAGTTCTTTTCTTTAAGAATGTTGAATATTGGCCCCCACTCTCTTCTGGCTTGTAGTGTTTCTGCCGAGAGATCTGCTGTGAGTCTGATGGGCTTCCCTTTGTGGGTGACCCGACCTTTCTCTCTGGCTGCCCTTAGTATTTTCTCCTTTATTTCAACCTTGTTGAATCTGATGATTATGTGCCTTGGGGTTGCTCTTCTTGCGGAATATCTTTGTGGTGTTCTCTGTATTTCCTGCATTTGAGAGTTGGCCTGTCTTGCTAGGTGGGGGAAATTTTTCTGAATAATGTCCTGAAGAGTATTTTCCAGCTTGGATTCATTCTCTTCATCACATTCTGGTATACCTATCAAACGCAGGTTAGGTCTCTTCACATAGTCCCACATTTCTTGGAGACTTTGTTCATTCCTTTTTGCACTTTTTTCTCTGATCTTGGTTTCTCATTTTATTTCATTGAGTTGATCTTCCACTTTTGATATTCTGTCTTCTGCTTGGTCAATTAGGCTGTTGAAACTTGTGCATGCTTCACGTAGTTCTCGTATTGTGTTTTTCAGCTCCTTCACTTCATTCACATTCCTCTCTAATTTGTCCATTCTCGTTATCATTTCCTCTATACTTTTTTCAAATCTTTATTCAAGGTTCTTAGTTTCTTTGTATTGATTTAAAACTTGTTCTTTCAGCTCACAAAAGTATCTTATTATCCACCTTCTGAAGTCTAATTTCGTCACAGTCATTCTCTGTCCAGCTTTGTTCCCTTGGTGGTAAAGAGTTTTGGTTATTTTTAGGAGTCGAGGTGTTCTGGTTTAGGTTGTTTTCCTTCTTTTTGCTCTGGTTTCTTCCCATATTTGTGGATTTATCCACCTGTAGTCTGCGTAGTTGCTGACTTTTCGATTGGGTCTCTGAGTGGATGCCCAGATTGTTGATGATGAAGTATTTCTGTTACTTGGTTTTCCTTCTACCAGTCTAGCCCCTCCACTGTATGACTGTTGAGGTCCACTCCAGGCCCTGCTTGTCTGGGGTACACCTACAGCAGCTGTGGAACAGTGAGGGATGCTACCAGTTTCTTTTTCTTCTATCTTTGTCTTAGGATGATGCCTGCCAAATGTCAGTCTTTTGGATATAGAGGGGTCAGGGAGCTGCTTGCGGAGACAGTCTGTACTTTATAGGAGCTCAAGTGCTGAGCTGTGAGCTCTGTTGTTCATTCAGGGCTGTTAGGCTGCTCCGTTTAATTCTGCTGCAGCAGAACTCATTAAAAAACCTTTTTTTTTCCTCAGATGCTCTGTCTCAGGGGGTTGGGGCTTTCTTTGTGAGTGTCCATTGTGCTGTGCTGCCCAGCTAGGAGGCAGTCTAGTCACTATTTTCCTGCCAAGGCTCCATCCTGCTGGTGTGAGGTTTGCCCTGTTGCTGCAGGCTCTGCCGTGCTGCTGCAGTCTCCGCCCTGCTGCCACAGGGTATGCCCTGCAGCGGAGTCCCTCTGTTGTGTCGGGTTGCCTCGGTAACGGCAGGCTGCATCAGCAATGGGCGTGTACCTCAGTAGGGGGCAGATTGCCTCGGTAATGGCAGACGCCCCTCCCCCACGGAGCTGCATTATTCTGGGTTCAGCTGTGCCTGTACCCAGAGTGTTTGCAATCGCCGTTTTGTTTGTCCCACTGTGCTACCCCAAATGCTGTTTTCCTTGATTCTCCTGGCCTGGGTCACTGTCCAAGTCCCGTTCAGTCTCAAGTTCAGCCCTCTCAGGTCTTAGATTGCTGGTCCAACAGGGCACCCGGACCAGTGCGCTTTGTGTGGAGTGCTGTGGAGCTCCGCTGTGCTACAGCACTGGCCGCCGGCTGCACCAGCTGCTGGTTGTACCAGCCAAAACCTCTGCCTGGGGTCCCACATCTCTTTTATACCTGGGAATTTCCCCATTCTGTGGGCAACAAAGATCCGTCTGGAAATGCGGCCCTGACTCACCCTCTGCGCATTCACCAAGTGCTTCAATCCTGGGTTGTTCTCACCGCACCATCTTGAGTCCCCTCCCTGCCTTTTTTATTTTTAAACATAGTATTTTTTAATGTACATTTCAAGTAAATAATTTAATGTGAATGAGGCTTAGTAAGATGTTACCCTAAAAAATAACAGAAGAAAAAGGGAAAGTAAGAACGTTTACCCCCCTCACCATAAAAGGGTGTCCTGCAAGATAAAGTAACCTGTTGGCCAGAGAATCTGGGAGAAGAAGATGTACTTGGAAGCACTGTCCTCTGAGGGCCAATTCCCAAGAGGACAGCAAAATACTGAAAAAATTAAGTGACTCAAAAGTTATATCAAGAGATCAAGAATGTTAGTCACAGCTTAGAAAAAAATTCCAGAATAAATGACACTAACTAGCTAGATTAGTAGTTCTGGCTTCATCCATCTCCCTACAAAGGACATGAATGCATCCTTTTCTATGGCTGCATAGCACTCCATAGTGTATATGTGCCACATTTGCTTTATCTAGTCTATCATTGATGGGCATTTGGGTTGGTTCCAAGTCTTTCCTTTTGTGAACAGTGCCACAATAAACATATGTGTGCATGTGTCTTTATAATAGAATGATTTATAATCCTTTGGGTATATATCCAGTAATGGGATTGCTGGGCCAAATGGCATTTCTATTTCTAGATCCTTGAGAAATCACCACACTGTCTTCCACGATGGCTGCACTAATTTACATTCCCACCATCAGTGTAAAAGCATTCCTATTTCTCCACATCCTCTCCAGCATCTGTTGTCTCCTGATTTTTAAATGATCACATTCTAACCCGCCTGAGATGGTATCTCAATGTGGTTTTGATTTGCATTTCTCTAATGACCAGTGATAATGAGCTTTTTTTCATGTTTGTTGGCTGCATAAATGTCTTCTTTTGAGAAGTGTCAGTTCATATCCTTCACCCACTTTTTGATGTTTTTTTTTTCTTGTTAATTTGTTTAAGTTCACTATGTATTCTGGCATATTAGCTCTTTGTCATACAGGTAAATTGCAAAATTTTTTCTCATTCTGTTGGTTGCTGATTCACTCTAATGATAGTTTTTTTCTTTTTTTTTTTGCTGTGCAGAAGCTTTTAAGTTTAATTAGATCTCATTTGTCTATTTTGGCTTTTGTTGCCACTGCTTTTGGTGTTTTAGGTATGAAGTTCTTGCCCATGCCTATTTCTGTTTCTTTAAAGGCAAATGGTATTTTTTGTGTGTGGCTCCGCCCAGTCTGAGTTTCCTGACTCAGAGCTTTTGGTGGGGGTGCAGATACATTTGCCTCACGGTAAAAGCAAAAGCAACAGCTCAAGTGGCCTCATTGGAGAAAACCAGAGAACTCAACTTACTCAAGAGAAGGTGAGTCTGGCTGAGAAGAGGGCCTGGTGCTACTGGGCTGCATAGGGGAGTGAGGACAAGGTGTCTAGTGGAGCGGATTCTGCCCTGAGGAGGAACAGGGCACTGTGTCAGCAGCACTGCATGGAAAGTGCCGTGGGAGGGATGGGTGGGAAGGGGAGTGAGGAGATTGGTTTGCACAGTGTCTATGCATCTCATATGTAACAGGATACGCATGGCTCCAAGCTCACCCTTCTACGGGAAGTGTGGATCATTTCTGTAGAGTATTTTGAAGAGTAATCAAGATATATGAAACATGCTTATCAGGGTGCTCTGATATGCAGTGTATACTTGATAATGCTTACACTATACAAGGGTTAATTTTTTTATTTGTGGAAAATTTATACTAATTCAATGGTAAAAATAATATAAAGAACTTCCATGTACATATACTAAAATTCCACAGTTATCAATTCCACAGTTGTCAGTCTTGTTCAACTATTTGCTCCTGTTTGCAACTCTATTGCAGATTATTTTGAAGCAAATGTCAGACATTTACATCATTTTATCAGTAAATATTTGACTAAGTGTCTCTGAAAGATAAAGATAAAGGTATGTTTTTAAAAATCATATCCACAGTTTCACAAACAGACTTTAAAAAGCAGCTATAATTTTTAATACTACCAGCTGTATTCAGATTTCTCTGAAGATCTCAAAATGTTTAAAATAAAATCCATATGTTACAATTATTTGACACCTCTTACATTTCACTTAATGTGTAGGGTTTCACCTTCCTTGTTTCTTGTGTTAAATGTCTTTGTTTAAAGAAGGGAAGGTCTTTTGTCCAACAGTATTCATTCTGCTGATTGCATCCTAACAATGTATTTCACACGTGCTTCCAGTGTTTTCTGTGAATTTATATTAACGGGGAGGTTGGATCAGATTAAAGTTTGACTTCAAAACAGTACACACACACTCACACACACACAGTGAAATTACTAATACTACATTTTCAAGCCTCTTGGGACAATTCTTTGTGGTTCATCCTTGACACAAAATCAATTAGGTTTATTTGTTTAATTTGCTTTTAATTTTTACTGGTGTTTTAAAAGATGATTTTTGTTGTATAATTATGTAAACTATTTACATGGTCTCAAGATCAAATTTGCAAAAACAAAGGATATTCACAGAAGTCTAATGCCCATTTTCTGTTCCTGTCCCTTGCACCTTGCTCCTCCCATCTTCATATAAATAACTCTTTTGTTTGTTTAGTTTTCAAATGGTCCTGCCGTTGCTTTTTCACCTGCACATAAAAATTATTCACATATATAACTAATATTCCTCCTTGTTATATAAATGGTAGCAAATTGTACATTATTTTCTTCACTCTGCTTTTTTCACTTACAGTATACCTCAGAGATCTCGTCATACTGGTATATAGATATATTTCTCATTCCTTTTTGCAGCTGGGTGGTACTTTTCCGTATGAATATACCTTAGTTTATTCGACTGGCCCCCACTGATGGGCATCTGATAGGGTTTTGGTCTTCTGCTGTTACTAATAGTACTGCATGAATAGCCACATGCATTTTTCCTTCTGTATTTTTGTCATCACAGCTCTGGGGTAAATCCTAAAATTGGGATAGATAATCAAAGAGTAAATGCATGTGTAATTTTTTGAGGTATTGTTACCTGCTCCTCTAGAGGTGTTAAGATTGTTTTCCCCTTCACACTAGTCATGCAGGAAATTTCCTGTTTCCCCATATCTTTACCACCATATTATGCTGGCAAATGTGTGGACTTTTGCCATACCTATAGTTGAGAAATAGTTATCTCTGAGTAATTTTTAAGTTATTCTATGTATTTAATTTATTTTTCTCTACCGTGAATGAACTTGGATGTCTTTTTATGTATTCCAGAAACATTTGCATTTCTTTTTTTCCTTTGACTGCGTGTTCATATCACACCCAATTTTCTATCAAGTCACTGGTCTTTTGCTTCTCTACTTTTAGATATTCTTCATATAATAGGAAAAATAGCCTCCTTTGAGATAAATTGGAAAGAATGTTTTCTAGCTTGATATTTATGTTTTAATTTGTCTATGGTGTTGTATGCCTTAAATAAGTTTTTAGACTTTTATGTAATCAAACTTATCAGTCTCTTTCTTATACTATTTTATATCTTAGTTATAAACATCTTTCCCACTCCCAGATTGCAAAGAATTTACCCATTTTAAATTGTTTACATTGGATAGTTTTTACATTTAAATTTCTGATCTATTTGGAATTTATACGACACGAGGATTAGAATTGCATCCAATGATATGGTGATATAGTTATGTCAGTGTTGCTTATCAAAGTGTCCATCGTCTTTCCCATTGGTATGGGGTGTTGCTTCACAGAAGGGAAGTCAGTGTGATCGAACTGAATAGCAGTGAATGTAAAATGAGCAATGGTCAGTTTGTGAACTTTCCTTTTCTGTTTGATGGCATGTCTCTATTCACTCACCAATATCACACTGCTTTAATTAGGGAGACTGTAATTTTTAATTGTCTGGTAGAGCTGGTCTACCCTTGTTCTTCTTTTCCTTGGTTGTCTAAGCTAACCTGCATTTTCTTTCTTTCTTTCTTTCTTTTTTTTTTGAGATGGAGTTTCGCTCTTGTTAGCCAGGCTGGAGTACAATGGCTCGATCTCGGCTCACCGCAACCTCCGCCTCCTGGGTTCAGGCAATTCTCCTGCCTCAGCCTCCTGAGTAGCTGGGATTACAGGCACACGCCACCATGCCCAGCTGATTTTTTGTATTTTTAGTAGAGACAGGGTTTCACCATGTTGACCAGGATGGTCTCAATCTCTTGACTTCACAATCCACCCTCCTAGGCCTCCCAAAGTGCTGGGATTACAGGCATGAGCCACCACACCCAGCCTGCATTTTCCTTCATCCAAATGAACTTTATAATCAACTATTTTAGCTACAGAAGAAAAGATGACAAAATTTTAAAATTCATATTTATATAAAATAATGTTAAAGAATTATATATAGTTTCTATTTTATAAACTACTTTAAACATGAATCATTGTTAAATTTGGCCAAGTATCTTTCCTGCATCTAGCTAATTTTCCTCTTAGCCTATTAACGGGATGTGTTGTAACAATCAATATTCTCATATTGATGCACCATAGTAGTTCTGAAATAAATCACATTTAATCAGAGTCTATTATTTATTAGTGTCTAATTTATTTAGGATTTTTATATTAATATTCACAAATGAGACACATATGTAGTTTGTTGATGAATGGCTTAGGAATCAATATTGTCAGCGTTGGGAATCAATATTATGCTTGCTTCATAGAAAAAAATGTAACTTCTTCCTTCTTCTTCTGTGGTCAGGAACAGTTTTAGGTAGCTTTGAGATGATCAGATCTTAAAAGTATTAATAGAATTCCCCTGGGAAACCATCTATACCTGGTACTACTTTCAGGGGAAACTCTTTAACTGCTTTCTTTATTATTTCTTCCATAATAATTGGACTACTTCATCTTTCTCTTCTTACTGGGCTCAATATGGATGATAGAATATTACACATTTTCAGGAAGAAAGAGCAATCAGAAAAGAAGGTTGGGAAAGGGTCCCACTTAAAAAATTGGCTTTTTTCTTCTCTCTTCCTCTCCTTAAGGTCTTGTACGTGCCTAAGCTACAGAGCCTCCTGACGTGAGCATGGCTGAGAGTGAGGACCGCTCTCTGAGGATCGTTCTGGTAGGGAAAACTGGAAGTGGGAAAAGTGGGACAGCGAACACCATCCTCGGAAAGAAAATCTTTGAGTCTAAAATTGCTGCCCAAGCTGTTACCAAGACCTGTCAAAAAGCATCCCGGACCTGGCAGGGGAGAGACCTTCTCGTTGTTGACACGCCAGGGCTCTTTGACACCAAGGAGACCCTGGACACCACCTGCAGGGAAATCAGCCGCTGCGTCCTCGCCTCCTGCCCAGGGCCCCATGCTATTGTCCTGGTTCTGCAGCTGGGTCGCTACACGGAGGAAGAGCAGAAAACCGTTGCATTGATCAAGGCGGTCTTTGGGAAGCTTGCCATGAAGCACATGGTCATCTTGTTCACTCGCAAAGAAGAGTTGGAGGGCCAGAGTCTGGATGACTTTATAATAGAAGCAGATGTGAACTTAAAAAGCATTTTAAAGGAGTGCGGAAACCGCTGCTGTGCCTTTAGCAACAGCAGCCAAACAAGTGAGGCAGAGAAGGAAGCTCAGGTGAAGGAGCTGGTGGAGCTGGTAGAGAAAATGGTGCAGAGCAACAAAGGGGCTTACTTTTCCGACGCCATATACAAGGACACAGAGGAAAGGCTGCAACAACGGGAAGAGGCTCTAAGGAAAATCTACACTGACCAATTAAAAGAGGAAATTAAACTAGTAGAAAAGGAATATGAGCATAAATCAGAGGAAGAAAAGGAGGAAAAAATAAAATTGCTAAAAATGAAATATGATGAAAGAATTAAAAATATAAGGGAAGAAGCTGAGAAAAATATATTTATAGATGTTTTAAATAAGATTTTGAAAATGCTTTCAAAAATATGGCATATGTTTTGGTAGTAATATAAATTTTATTCTTTCTTCTTAATTTACTATGATTTGTTAATGTGATGAATCGTATTTTCCAAATATAATTACAAAAATATCTCCCTTTCCTTAGTTTTAATTAAGGTTTCATTGACAAATAAAAATTGAGTATGTTTAGGGTGTATAATATGATGTTTTAATATATGTATATGTACATTGTGAAATAAATCAAGGTAATTAACACATCTAGCACCTCTTGGTTACTATTTTCTTTGGTGTGGTGAGAACATTTGAGGTCTAATCTCTTAGCAAATTTCAAAAATGCAATACAGTATTATTAAGTATAGTCATCACGCTGTATGTTAGATGTCCAGAGCTGATTTATCCTGCATAACTAAAGTTTTTTTACCAACAGTTCTCCATTTCCCCCAACCCCCAGTCCCTGGCAACCAACATTCTATTCTTTGCTTCTGTGAGTTGTATTTTATAAAATTCCACGTGTAGGTGAGATCATGCAATACCTGTCTTTCTGTGCTTAGCTTACTTTACTTAACATAATGTCCTCTGGGTTCATTGATACTGTTGCAAAAGACAAGATTTATTTCTTTTTCAAGGTTGAACAACGTTCCATTATTAATAAAATGTTAATAATGCACCACGTTTTCTTTATCCACTCATCTGTCCATGGACACACTTGGGTTATTTCCTATCTTGGCTATTGTGAATAATGTGTAGTGAGCAAGGGAGTGCAGATATTCTATAATAATGCTCATTGCAGCATTACTCGCAATGGTTAAATATATATTTCAGTGGAATATATATTTATAAGTCATCTAGTTTATGGTATTTTTATAGCAGCCCAAATGGACTAATACCTAAAGGAAATGAACTATATCTTTATCACACACACACACACACACACACACACACACACACACACACATTCAGTAGAACGTATGTTTAGTGGAATATATACTCCGGGGTCTCTGTTGGGCCTCTTTAATGAGGGCATGAATTCCATTCATGGGGCCTCTGCCCCCATGACCTAATCACCTCCCTAGGGCCTTTCTCCTTATACCATCACATTGGGGGTGAGGATTTCAACATACGAGTTTTGAAGGGTCATAATCATTTAGACCATAGCGTTCTGTTTCTGGCTCCCCAAAAATCTATGCCCTTATCACGTGCAAAATACATTACTTTTGTCTCAGTAGCCCCAAAAGTCTTGTTTCAGCATCAATTTTAAAATGTGACTTCAAAGTGTCATCTAATTATCATCTAAATCAGTAATGGGTGAGACTTAAAGCACAATTTATTCTGAGGCAAATTGCTTTCTGGTTGTGAATCAGTGAAATCAAGCATATTATGAGCATCAAACATAGTATGGTGGGAGAGGCATAGGACAGACATTCTCATTCTGAAAGGGATAAATAGGAATGAAGAAAGGAGTGACAGTTACCAAGCAAGTCCAACAACCTATGGCTCAAGAATTATCTTTTTTGGCTTGATGCTGTCAAGGCGCACTGATATGGAAGCCCTGCCTTTTGGACTCTTTTTGGTGGTAGTCTAGCCTCCAAAACTTTGCCTGCCCCTATGGCTTTGCTGGCTTCAGCACACACCACACCAGAGCCTGCCAGAGCTGCACCTAGGGGAGCTGAGCAAAATGGCAACAGAGTGTGGGGAGCAGAGTCCACAATGTGAGGTAAGGCTGGGCAGCAGTGGCCCCTCCTTTGAAATTATTTTGATCCCCAAGGTCCTAGCATTCTGTGATGGCGGTCAGCCCCAGGATTTCTGAAATGCTTTTGGGGTCATTCTCCCATTGTCCTCACTTAGATGGTGGGTCCTTGCTTCTGTTTAGATGGCTCACTGCCTTGATCAATAGCACATGGCTTCCATTGAGATGGCTGATCCATACCAATTTCCTTTATCAAATGATCAATAGGCCACATCCGTTTCTTTTCTGAAAAAGCTTTCTTATTTTTTTCCATTATGGATAGACTAAGAATTTTCCAAATGTTTAAGTTCTACTTCCCTTAGACCAACAAATCCATTTATATTTATCTCTTTCACATTTTACTATAGGCAGTGAACAGAAGCCACAGTGTATCTTCATTTCTTTTTTTTTTTAATTGAGTAGAGGCGAGGAACTAGGATGTTGAAAAGTAAAGGAAGGAGAGAAGGAGAGGAAGAAAGAGGAAGAAAAAGAGGGAGAGAGAACAGGAATATTGCTTCATTCTAAAAATGGGTATTAATAATGGCCGATCAATATTTTGTGTATTTAAAATGGAGAACTCTATAAATATTTATTGAGTTTACTTGTTCCGGATCTGAGTTGAAGTGCTGGATATCCTTATTAATTTTCTGTCTCGTTGAGTGGAAATCTCGTTATGGGTCTTATGTATCTGGGTATTAAGATCTCTTACTGTTACATTGATCCTTTTACCACTGTATCTTTGTTGCTTTGAAATCTATTTTATCAAATGTGAGAATTGCAACTCCTGCTTTTTGTCTATTTATTATTTATTTTTGCCATAGTATATCTTCAACACTTTGCTTATAGATTTTCTCAGCCAGATATCCAATTTCATCACTCACAAATTCTACCTTTCACAAAGCACTTGGACAATAACACAACGTAGCTAATTTCTTTGCCACTTTATGATAAGGATTTCTGTTCCTCCATTGTCCAACAGCACATTCTCCATTTCTCTCTGAGACCTCATCAGAATGGTCTTTACTATCCATATTTCTACCAATAACCCAAGTTATTGGTGTGTCTACTTAGGTATTTGCTAAGAAAATTGAGGCTTTCTGAACCTCAGTAGAATCATCCTTAATGGTCCATTCATAGCAATGCAGGCTTTCTCTAGCACAAACCTCTTACTTCCAGCCTCTACTTACTACCCAGGTCTAAAGCTGCTTACATATTTTAGGTATTTGTTACAGCAGCACCCTCAGTTCTTGGTACCAATTTTTGCTCTTAGTTTGGGCTGCTATTACAAAATGCTATAAGCTGCATGGCCTATAAGCGACAGAAATTTATTTCCTACAGTTCTGGAGGCTGCAAAGTCCAAAGCACTGGCAGATTCAGTGTCTAGTGATGGCCCACTTCCTCATAGACATGTATCTTTTCACTTTAACTTCACATGGTGAATGGGACAAGGACTTTCTCTTGAGCCTCTTTTATTTTTGTTTTTGTTTAATTTCTTATTGAGCCTCTTTTATAAGTGCACTAATCACATTTATGAGGTCACTACCCCCATGACCTTGTCACCTTTCAAGGGCCCCACCTCCTGTTATCATCACATTGAGTGTGAAGATTTCAACATATCAATTTTGTGGGAACATAAACAATCAGACTATAACAGATATATATCCAGAAGTGGGATTGGTAGATTATATGGTAGTTCTTATTTTTAATTTTTTGGGGAACTTCCATCCTGTTTTCTATAATGGCTGTACCAATTTACATTCCTGCCAGCAGTGTATGGGGTTACTTTTTTCCCACATTCTTGCAAAAACTTGGTATCTTTTGTCTTTTTTATAATAATTCTACGTACAGGTATGAGATAATATCTCATGTGGTTTTGATTTGCCTTTCATTGTTGATTAGTCTTGTTGGACATTTTTTCATATACTTGTTATAAAGATATTTGTGTGTCTTATTTTGAGAAATGTCTGTGCAGGTCCTTTGCCTATTTTTTAAATTGGGTTATGTGTTTAATTGTTGTTGAGTTGTTTAAGTTCCTTCCATATTTTGAATATTAACCCCTTATCAGATGTATAATTTACAAATATTTTCTTCTAATCCATAGGTTGTCTCTTCACTTTATTGATTGTGTCTTTTGCTATACACAATATGTTTGGTTTGAGGTAACCCTGTTTGTCTATTTTTGTGTTTGTGGCCTGTGCTTTTGGTGTCAAATACAAAAAAAAATCATCATCCAGATCAAGATATTTCCTGTGTTTTCTTCTAGTATATTACAGTTTTAGGCCTAATATATAACTTATTTAATCAATTTTGAGTTAATTTTTTATGCAGTTTGAGATAAGGGCCCCATTTCATTCTTCTGCAGGTGGATATCCAGTTTTCCCAACACCATTATTGAAGAAACTCTTCTTTCCTCTTGGTTTGTCCAACTGACCATAAATGTGTAGCCTTATTTCTGGATTTATTATTCTGCTCATTGGTCCATGTGTCCATTCTTATGCTAGTACCATGATTTTTCACTACTATAACTTTGTTTTAATTATAATAGTATGTTTTGATTGCTATAGCTTTGATTCAATTATTATATTTTGAAATCAAGCAGTTTGAGGGCCCCAGCTGTGTTCTTTTTTTTTCTTTCCTCCATTGCACTTTTATTTGAATGTAATATTTGGGACAATTATCCAAAAGGGCCAATATTTCCCAATTTAATCTGAGGTCATAATAAAACAAGCAACAAAACAGTGTTTGGGATTTCAGTTTCTCACCCTTATCATCAAGACTCCCTGCCTCCCATCATCAATATTTATTGAGCATTTACAGTGTACTAGGCACGATAGAACATACAGAAAACATTGTCCCTGCTCTTGAGGAGCTTACATTCTAAAAGCAAAAATACACCTCTTTTAAAATGGCATTTTTGTTTGGTGTTTTCTGCAAAGTACTGAGGAAATATTTTGTAAAGTGAGCTTTGGGTATAACTTAGCCCCATCATTATTTAGAGAACAGAGGAAGAGAAAAAGGAAGGATTTTAAAGGCAGACAATGACATTCAGGATAGGTAGGGTTTTAAAGGGAGAGAAACACAATCTCATCAACTAAGGAGAGACTTGCTGCAGAAAGTAGGATGAGGGAATAGTTTGTGGGAGGCAAGCAAAGGAGGCAGGGTATCACAGACATCGAGTGGAGCCAGAAAGATCATGCGGCCTTTTTCCAAGTACGCAGCCACCAAGTAGGAATGGTTGGTGTCAAGACAGAAGGCTAAAAAGGAAGGTAATCTTGTGACAAATAGAAAGAATAAAGGATCAAAGTCGAAGGCAGGCTATAAGAGTATCAAGAAGTTCTTAAAAACCAAAAAGTGATTTGGAAGCACAAAACTTATAGCTAATGCTACCTGATGTCATGATGGGCCAAGAACATTGTGGCTTCCTAAGTTAGAAAATGCCATATACCAAAATCTTAAATGAAACATATTACTTTTTTTTTTCCAGTCAATCTCCCCCTCTCCCAGAAAAAAATAGGAACTCATTTTTTTCAGGGTGAGGAGGAAGAGAGGGGATCATGGGACACAGTTGGAAACAGTAGTTATAGTAGTAGCATTTTTGTTGTTGTTATGATAAACTTTGTGTTTAAACTTGGTAAAAGCCCATTAGCTGCCAAGAGGGAATAAGGAATAAATTTCAAAAAATGTACAATTTCCTTTAGAGAAGTTTCAGAACCAAAAGACTAATTTACATGAAAATCTGTAGAGAAAGTAGTTGAAAAGTCCATTCATGAAACTTTTATTCCACTTACGTGAATTTAATACACATGTTCTTAACAATTATGCTTGGATTGTTCATGAAAATTTCATAAGACATTAAACAAAGCTAGCCATCATCTCAAGTTATTTCCCTGTTAACTATTTTTGCAGCACATGCATGTTAGGCAAGTATCAAAAAAAAATCACAAAAGCAAAAAACCTAA